TGCAATGCTGGAGAAGTGTCTCGGACCTTGTTGCATAGCATAGTCTCTGAGTGTTCTTCCAGGTGGATTTGGATTTGAATTTGGATTTGCTTCTCCCTTCACCATGTCTTCTATGATTGGATCTAGTAAATTGAGTGTAGGAGGAGGGTCAACAAATTCTCCTCTAACAAATTCTCCTCTTGCTTGTTCTTGAGTTTCTCTTCTTCTTCTACTACGGTTCCTTCGAGCAGTCTTTTCAATTTCAGGATTGAACTCTAACTGATATGTGGATACCTTTCATCTTAAGAGCATAAATTAAAGAGCAACTTAAACAAGAATTAACACAGAAAAACAAAACAAACAAAATAAAAAGAAATAATTAAAATCAAAATATTCACAATACTCAATAAGCTAGACACAAATTTTCCAAGATACGTCGTTCCCCGGCAACGACACCAGATTTAAGTGGTTATATTACAATTAAGAGCATAATTACATCAACTTTTACCATTTAACACCTGAACCTTATCTCCATCCATGGCCACCCCGTGGCCTGAGATCGTATGGCCTAAATAGTCAACCTTTTGTAGTCCAAATGAACATTTGGATAGTTTGGCATATAAATGGTGTTGTTGCAGCAATTTAAGAACATGCTCCGAATGTGCTAGGTGTGCTTCCCAATTAGGACTATAAACTAATATGTCGACAAAGAAAACCAAGACAAATTTTCTAAGGTAGTCTTTGAAAACATCATTCATGAGGCATTGAAAAGTAGTAGGGGCATTAATTAGCCCAAATGGCATCACGAGCCATTGATAATGTCTGTGATGAGTTCGAAATGTTGTTTTGTGTCTATCCTCCTCTGCCACCAAAATTTGATGGTATCCAGATCTCAAATCGAGCTTGGAAAAGTAACTAGAGCCATATAACTCATCAATAAGTTCATCCATAGTATGTATGGGAAAGTTGTCCTTGATAGTGAGAGCATTGAGGGCTCTATAATCTGTACAAAATCTCCATGTCCCATCTTTTTTTTTAACCAATATGATGGGTGAAGAGAAAGGGCTTGTACTTGAAGCGATAATGCCTACTGCTAGCATATCGTGGACCATGCTTTCAATCTATTGTTTTTTACTGTGAGGGTATCTATATGGTTTCACCTTCACTAGTTTGACATCCTGGATCAAAGGAATGGTATGGTTATGTACTTGGGAAGGATGCAAAGCAGTTGGGACTTTAAAAATACTACGGTAATTATGCAACAGCACCACCAATTCTGGTGCCATATTCTCAGGTAATTCAAGCTCGTGATCTTGAGGGGCATCCTCTTGGGTATACTGCATTGTAAAGACGACCTCTATAGGATGTGTGTTGTTCATTCGCCTTAGATGATGAAAGTGAACAGAATTAGGTAACCACGTAAAGACGACCTCTATAGGATGTGTGTTGTGACATATTGATTTCCTTGAAATACTTCAAAGTGAGTTTGTTATAATATAAAATGTGAGGTTCCAAAGTAGCTAGCCACGTAGCTCCCAAAACTAAATCCGCACCAGAAATTGGAAGTAAATACAGCGATAATTGAAGTGATTGGCCCTGAATCATGACACCTAACTGCCTCACTAACCCTTCAGTAACTAGAGAATGATCGTTCCCCACTAGAACTTGAAAATTCGGAGCAGGTTCAATTGGAAGTTTCAAACAACTTGCAATACGAGGTTGCAAGAAGTTATCCGAACGACCACTATCAGTAATATCTGAATTGCCATTCCATTAATTGTACCGCTAAACTTCATAGTTCCTAACTCGGAAGACCCATTAAGAGCATTGTAAGACAAGTGATGGTCCAAACTCCTATTTGTCGTAGTTCCCTCATCCGAAGTTGGTTGTTTGGTTTGACTTCCTCATTGTCTTCACCCTCTATGTGTAGCAGCATATATTGCTTGTTAGGACACCTATGAGAAGAGGTAAACTTCTGATCACAAGTGTAGCATAGCCCTTTTTCTCTACAGATTTGCATCTCAGCGGGAGATGTGTTTTATATTGCTAAATTTCTGAACACTAGAACTATAATTTGAGGGAGTAGGAAGTAATGGAGGTAGGCTTGTGGATTTAAGGGATTGGGACGTGTTTAGGTTTGTGTTTGGGTTACAGCTGGGGTATGAGATATGGGACTATCTAGGTTTAGGCACATATTTCTCTTCATACAACTTGGCCAGAGATTGGGCTATGACATCCTATTGAATATCAAGTTTGAGGCCACCAACAAAGCAATCCAACAGAGCTTCCGAAGTCACTCCATGTACCCTATTTGTGAGAGTAGTGAAACGCATATAATAGTCATGAACAACACCAATTTGGTGCAGTTTAAATAACTGGGATCTGGTACATTCGTATGGGGATGGACCAAATTCCAGTTCAAGAGCTCGAGTAAGATCTATCCAGAATTAAAAAGGGGTAGAGCGATTTGTCATTTGAAACCAAGGGACTATCTCTTTTTCCATGTGAATAGCGACGATCGTGATTCATTGGGTATCGAGCGTATTATAATAATCAAAGAACTGCTCTGCCTTGAAGATCCATTGAAGAACTTATGAACCGTTGAAACACGAAAAATCGAGTTTCACATTGCGGACCTGAAACGGTAGAGGTGTAAGGTTGTTCGTCTTTGGCAACGAGTCCATCGCCGCTTCGAGCATTTCAAAATGCACAGCATTTTCATTTATGTTTCTAAGATTATAATAATTATATTCAACTTATAATTAATTGTTTTAGGTACATTGACAAATTGAGTGTGGAACAAGAAAAATTCGAAGTATACGGATTTATTGAGCCTCAATCCATCCAAAAATCTGGAAATACAAAGGTTGGAATCCAACAATATATGCAAACATGGATGAGTAACTCAAAAAAACATATATATTTGGCTTCATACATTGAATGGTTAGTATTTTAATTTGTATTTTAATTTATATTTTTGTAACTAATTTTTATGTCATACAATGTAGGTCCCATTGACAGTTAATTGTAATCATGCCCCAGGATTACACTGTGGTGTGGTTTTGTTCATTACATCGAAACCGAGTCAAGAAATGAAAAGCTTATTACAAGGGCAACTTTATCTTTTATTCATTAATTATGTTTTTAAATTGTAAATATATATTGAATAATATATGATTTTTTTCACTTAGAATCGTGTCTAGAACTAATGTTCTAAGTGGAAAACCTAGAACAAAGACTTTGCAGCTCATTTTTCCTAATAAGGTTAGAAACTTATTTATATAAGTGAATACCATAATTATTGTTTGTATTTAAATTTTGAAAATAACTTTATGTTTTTTTCATCATTTCAGTGTAATAAGCAAACATACTCGTTTGAATGTGGTTACTATGTTATGTATTGGATGAGTGTCATAGTTTGTGCCGATATAATTGATTCTTGGACTGAGGTAATTGCTTTTAACAATTAAGTTTATTTAACTTTATTCATGTTGCATGTTTACAAGAGTCAAATTAATGTTTCGTGTATTTCAAGATCCATCTCCATTACTGGAATATGATATTACACAAATTAGAGAACAATGGGCAAAATTTTTCGTTCAACAATTCTAGTACATAATTTTTTTAAGTTCTTGTTCATATTATATTGTGTGTATTATGTAGTTTAGGTAACTTAGTTTGTATTAACTTTTAGTTTGTAATAGATTTTTAAGTTTGTATGTTTGTATTATATTGTTTTATTATGTAGTTTGAATTATATAATATTATATTTTTAATTTACTAGCTAAAGAAAATTGAACCTATGGACTTTCTGGTTATAATATATATTTGCAGGTTTTAGTTGTAAAACAGAATAAACCCAATTTTAAAAAAAACAGCAAATTTACGTCGCATATACCAATATGCGACATAAATTTACGTCGCGTATTGGTATATGCGACGTAAATTTACGTCGCGTATTGGTATATGCGACGTAAATTTACGTCGCGTATACCAATATGCGACGTAAATTTGCTGTTTTTTTTTTAATTTTCGAAAGTTTTTACGTCTGTTTAGTGGTATATGCAACGCAAAATTACGTCGGGTCTTGATAACTGACGTAAATTTACGTCGGACTAAAAGGTATGACGTAAATTTACGTCTCCCGTTTTAACGTCAGTCTTAAATACGACATAAAAAACTCTAAATACCTGACATAAAAATCCCTTTTTGCACTAGTGCAACTCCATCAATTTAGTCATGTTCGCGGATAGCTCTTTTAATAGTGTGTTTTCCGTCATGGTAAAGGGAATGAAAGCACCAATATAAGAAGAATGAACAAAAATACAACACAAAATGATGGACGTATGTGTATTTTATTTAATGGTCACTATAAGTAAAATTGACAAGTGCATATAGCAAAAGAAGAAATTATAGCAAATGAAATTAACAAAAGTAATTGTAGAAAGAAGATTTCCAAGAAATGAGAGACAACACAACCCCCCTTGTCTCACTCCCGAGCCCCGTTAGGCTAGTGTTAGTTATTTTTCTTATTATGCTACACCTACCACCTGCGATGTGCCCTTCTAGTTGTGCCTCACTCTTTCTATCATGATTCCCATTTATTTCTATAGTGATTACATCGCACTGGAGCATCTGCTCGTGGTTGAAGAGGATTGTAATAGTAGACTTAAAAGATCCACATATTCAACCTTTGTCTTAATTTTAATATTAAAATGTCATACATAAGAAGTAACTCTAAACAAATAAAATTAAGAAGCTCGTAAATTAAAATCAGAAAATAAAATTTAATTAACCCAAAACAAGATATAGCCAGATGCGACATTTATACATGAAGAACAATCAAAACCTTGTTGCAGGTGGTGGGCAACCGATTTCCAAATAACACAGAACTTAGAAACACCAAAGGTTTGTGCAACACAAACACTTATTCACGTAGCTACATATAACCAACAACCACAAAAACATTGGAGAACAAAATGGGCATGATAAAGGTAGTGAGTTTTGGAAGGTAATGAAATCTAAGGAATGTAAGCACTAGGGTTCAACCTAGGAGTAACCAAAGCAGCAAGAGGAACTTTTTTCTGCAAGGCAAGGCCAAAGCTTTCATCCATATTCAACTCCCCCACTTCATGTGGCACCTTCCAATCAAAGGAATGCACCAAAGTGCCCAAAATGTAGTGCACCAACACAATCCCCATTCTGGTCCCCGCGCAGATCCTTCGCCCAGCCCCAAAGGGTATCAGCTCGAAGTCATTCCCGCGTGGCTCGATCTTTTTGTTCTTCTCAGTCAAGAACCTCTCTGGCCTGAACTCCAAGGGGTTCTCCCACACCTCGGGGTCCCTCCCTATAGCCCAGATGTTGACGCTCAAGCGAGTGTTCTCCGGAATGTAGTAGCCGTTAACCTGGCATGGTTCGCTGGAGATTCGAGGGAGGTTCAGAGGGGTTGAGGGGTGCTTTCTGTAGGTCTCTTTGCATATGGCTTGGAAGTACGGAAGGTTTGCAATGTCGGATTCTTTGAGGCGACGGTCCCTGCCGATGACTTGGTCCATTTCCTCGTGAGCCTTCTTCATGATGCTCGGGTTGTACAGCATCTCTGCCAGGGACCACTCTATGATGCTCGATGATGTGTCAGTTCCTGCTGTGAATAGGTTCTGTCCAAAAGTAACATGCAGGTGTTAGAGGCAACGTTTTTTCAAAACAATTATACATTATATACATATTTATAATTTTTTTTATTATATCTACCCAACCCCAAAAATATACGGTATAACGAAAATAATCGAGGTATTTTTTACCATCCAAAATATTTGAAGGAGTTACTATATGATAAAATATCTTTATACCTAATTACTTTTATATATATATATATATATATATATATATATATATATATATATATATAAACTACTAGAAAACTAGGCAATTATCACAAAATCCATAAGAACATCTTTCATAGTTCATATTATTATATCCAATCAATAATAGACATGTCAGGTTAATTTATTATTTTTCAATGGAGAAGTTTGTGTACGTGTGATTTTTATAAGAGTGGTCAAATTATATTACATCAACAATTATATATTATCAATAACTTTATATATAAAGTACATTTTCTATCCATTTAACTGTTAAATTATAACTATTAATTAATTATTTTTTCAAATTTAGTAAAAACTAAATGATAGCAAAATAATAACAATGAGATATTAAATAATTTTGAATTTTTATAACAAAAATACAAACAAAATTGAAACATTAAAATTCTATAAATCAGATAATATTACTTAAAATAGAAACAAAAATTGGAAAATAAATAATCTCGTATAAAAATGAACGCATAATTAATAGTTGACATGTATTAAAATGAGAAGTTATTTTCATAGAATCTTGGAACATCACTTTCCGTGGTCCCTATTCCACATGCATCAAGTATGATATAAATCATTGAGGGTGAGGGCCATATTGTGTGGGAACATTTTTAAAAGGAACATTTAAACTCGATCGTGGTTAATTTTAGCTCACACACAACACTCCATCGTGGTTAGTTTTAAGTCACACACTACATTTACGACCCCTAGTTTGTCCTTTAATATTTTTCTATATATGTTTTTTTAACAGTGTTCTTAAATATATATATATATATATATATATATATATATATATATATATATATATATATATATATATATATATATATATATAGTGTGTGTGTGTGTGTGTGTGTGTGTAGAATATATTAAAAATAAGTGTTTCCACTATTTAATGAGATAGTGACTTTAATCACATATTTGACGCATTAATGTTTGAACACCACAAGATTGTTCGAATTTGACTGTGTGACATTTTTTTTTTCTTAAAAATATCTGAACGAGTTAAGAGGATTTTTTAAATTATGATAAGTTTGATTTCTAAGTAACGAATTATGTAAACATTCAATATGATGTACCAATGTTCGAACTCGTAAGTTTGTTTAGATATCTTTAAAAACATCATGTTAAAAATATTATTCAATTTAAAATTTAAATTTTTATGTCATAATGCATAAAATATTTTTTTAAAATAAATAATAATAATAAAAGGTATATTTTTAAGTAATTTAATAAAAAATTATAAATTTTATAGAAGAGTATCCAATTTTTTAGAAAAGTCCAAATATTTTGATATCATGTTTTTTTTCCTCAACTTATTGCTAAATAATAACCAAAAGCATACTTTTGAAGATATTCTTTCTAACATACTCTTTGTTATTGTTAAAAAAAGTTTTAGAATCTACAAAGACTCATCAACTAATGACACAGAATCCATTTTTTATTATCTTTTTAATGATTTTAAGTAAATTTCAATCACTATTCTAAAAAATTGTTAAGGATGCTAAAGTTTCTGCATAAGTATTGTAAATGTGAAAAATAACTATCATAATAAAGATATATGGCTACACATGTTTAAAACCTTATGTTCCTAATACTTGTTTTATTAAGCTTACTAGCTTAGTTGTTGTGTTCGTGAACTTGGACACAATAGTGTGAATATGTACCATATAACCCATCTTCCATCGTGATTATCATCAAAAGGCAAAGAAAACATTTGTGATTTAAATTATGATTTAATTATGTTTTTAGTTTTTTGAATGATTCTGATTTTACTCCTTAATTTAAAAACAAATTTAGTCTTTCAAATTAAAAACAAAATAGTCATTAAACATTAAATTTAAAAGACTAAAATAGGTTTATTAAAATTATTTTTAGCATTTCATATTTTATTAAATTTAAGAAAATAAATAATTAATTTTTTTAATTTAAAAATTAAAAAATATAATTAAATCATAAATTATTGCTTTTACGTTTAAGTATATATGTATTATAAACCTAATTGGATATGTAGATTATTGAAGCAATTAAGACCCTAAACCGACAGAATTAAAAATTGAGAGACAAAAATAAAACATTTCAAAATGACACTATTAGTGTGTGTTGAGATGAAAGAGTGATGCGTACCAAGAGTAAAGCCTTGATGTTGACAAGCGATAATTTTTCGCCGTGAGTGTCCTCTTCAGCATAATAAGCCATGACAACGTCCAAGAAATCAGGTTTATTCTTCCTCTTGTTCTTAGAAGCCACATGCTCTTCAATCATCTTCGTCAACAACGAATCAAACTTCTTGTGCAACTGCTTCATCCCACGCTCTATGCCTTGCAGGTCCAACTTGGCCAAGAAGGGTATGAAGTCACCAATGTTGAAGTACCCTGCAACAGTCATGAGCTCCACCACCATGTCCTTGAACTCGTTTGACTCTGAACCCTTCGTCTCGAACACTCGACGACTCAGGATCACTTGCCCTATCATGTTGGCCATGGAGTAGGTCAACATCTCCGGCACCACCACAGCCTCACCCCTTTTGCTACAATCGTACATCGAACCCAGCATATACCCCATCTCTTCGTCTCGAACCTTGCCCCAATCGTCAAGAGCCTTTCCTCCAAGCATGTGCAGGTTGCTCAGTTTCCTCAGCAACTTCCACCTTGATCCGTAGTGAGCGAACACCATATCCTGTCAACAAAGACCAACCCAGATCAAAGGAGAGGCCAAACGTCAAAAGATTTAGCTTCTAAATATCTTACCAGATTAAAAGTTCAATCATTGAATTGCTAAGTGTTTTTCATTTCACTCGTTGTAGAACAATAATCCATGTAGTGAACTCGTTGAACAAGTCAAGAATCACGTTACGGCAAAATAAATTTGCCTGTGGACTAGTTGACCAGAAAAGACTCAGGACAGAAAAAAAAACTGTCCTTGAATTTTATGTATTAAACTATTTAATTTAGTTTTTATTAAGTGTATATTTAGACAAACATCTCACCATAAGAATTTCCTACAAGAGAAAATAAAAAGAAAAAATATTAAATATTTTTTTTTCTAAATTAAAATTAACTTAGACACAGATTATAATATGAAGACATATATGAAATTAGAGAATATTAGACACAGGTTAACAAACCGTGAAATATATATATATATATATATATATATATATATATATATATATATATATATATATATATATATATATATATATATATATATATAAACGTATGTGAATACTTTTAAATATTTAAATATTAAACAATAATATTATTAGGTGCATGTCTACATTTTTGAAAAAAACATAAGAAATTATAATTTATTTATTTTATATAGACCAAACATATCAACCTTTATTATTTTTTTTTAACACAAATTTGTGTTTAAATTATGAAAATAGAAAAAAAAAACACATAAAAAACGTAAGAAAAAGTAATATATATATATATATATATATATATATATATATATATAATATAATATAATATAATGGGAAAACATAGTAGATGGTTTGATTTAGTTTTTTTAATTATTAAAAAAATTTGTTTAATAATTCTATTTTCGAAAATAATCTTAAACCAACGAGAATGATATAAATTATATAAAAAGTTGAGACAGAAAATAAAAAAAAATTGAAAATTTTATAATAATAATGAGTAATTTAATGTAATTATTAAATAAAATATTAATATTTATTATAAAATAAAATAAAACTGTTATATAAAACATTTTTTATCAGTTTTAATTTTTAAAAACTAAAAAAATAAAAACAATTTGTGAAAATTATTTTAATTATTAGACAAGTTTATTTAAAACTATTTTCAAAACTAGCAAACACATAGGTGATACCTCCTTTAGTTAAAACTATTGTTCCAAAAAAAAAAAAAAAAAAAATAACACATACCTGTGCATCATAAGCCAAGTGGGTTGCACCAGCATTTGGAGGCCGATTGGAGAAGTTTAGGTCAAGAGTTTTGAGGAAGGCACGAGCAGCAGCAGGAGTAGAGGCCACAACCATGTTGTTAGTACCCATTTTGAGGTACATCACAGGTCCATATTTCTTTGCCATTTTCGCCAATGTCACATGGGGCATGCTTCCCATCAGAGGAAGTGCACCCACCACAGGCCACCCTCTTGGCCCCGGTGGCAGCTTCCTGGCATGCCGTTTGAAGACTGTGCGCATGGAAAAAAGGGTCACCAAGTAGATCAAAATAGACGCAGCAATTTCCCTAACAAGGAACAAGGTTTCCATGGTGATGAACAAAATTTAACTAACTGGCTATGAAGTGTGGTGAAATTGATGACTCTCAGACAAATATATACATAACATAAGATGATGTGTGGTGTTGAGTGGAGTTTGGCAAGGCACGTTGTCACCAACATTTCGCTTAAAATGATAACGGTGAGTTCTACCTCTCTCTCTGCTGGGTGCAACCTTCCCACACGTATTAAACTATAAATTTAGAAAACAAAAATAATATGGAAGAAAAAGGAAGACATATGATTCTTAATTGTTTTAGGCAATGCAAATTCTTTTTTCTTTGTTCTATTTTGTGAAAAAAAAAATCAAGTAGGTTTATTTAAATAGAGAAAAGAAGGTAATCTTAAATTTTTAAAGACAATGATGATTTTTTTTAAAAAAAAAAGAAGAAAAAACAGAATGTGTTGTATTAGATTTTTCTTGTTTAATATATATTATAAATAAAGTTTTATATTGTGTGGTAATTATATGGTACCATATATATGTTATTATGATACTGACCAATTTTGATATGATAAGTATCAAAAATTTGAATGTATTAGTTAGATCTTTTTAGAATATATGTTAAATAAAAATAAGCTGAGATTGTCTAATAGTTTCTTTACAGAGGAGAGTTTAATTAGTTTAATGGATTACTATTATCAAAATGCATCTTTGGTATGAGAATAAAAAAAAAATCAAATATGACGTAGATGAGTATATAGTCTCGTATTTTGATTTTAACTTTTATAATGCTAATTTAAATATATTTGTTAACCTAGCTATATATTTTCTTACTATTTTTCGTACAACCCTTTAGATAATGATGGCAAATATATATATTAAAAAATTATATATATCAACTGGGCGAGGAAATATATATATTAAAAAGTTAATCATTTTCAATGATACAATAAATCATCATTAATTTTGTATTATCTTATTAGTATTTTAGTTGATAAAAATGATTTTGCTAGGAAGTGCATGGGGAGAGACAGATGTGTTGTTGTTGTTTTATTAACTCATTTTTGAAATAAATATATTATTTATATATTATATGAAAAGTATTTATAACATACTATTCCTATTTTCATATCACATAATTTATCTCTTGTCTTCCCTTGTTATTTCTTTATTATTTATTAAAAATGTTGTAAAATTTTATTATAAGAAATTTCTCCACTTGAAGGGTCCACAAAAAAAATTGAGAAGTGACAAGATTGAATGATGCTTTTGATTCCTTTGAGAATACAGTGTCTCCCATTAGAAACCCAGAATTGGATAAGATTAAGACGAAATAATTGTTGGAAATTTTGGAGGGAAAGAACCAACATATAATTATTTATCAATGATCACAAATTATATAACATCTACTAAAATATAATAAATTTGTAATTTTTTATTTATATATTACTCAATTATATTTTACTTTTATAGAACGTATATAATTCATATTTAAATTTTAAAAACAAGTTTTCAATTAATTTAGGTAAGTTGTGAGTCAATTAGGAAATTAATGATAAATGGTTGGGAGTATGGAAAGTGGGGTGACTCTATGTAAGAGATTAGTAGGTAATATGGACTCACGTGTGCAACCAAACCTTCTATGTCCAACTAACGTAAGAGAGAGATTGCAGCCACCCACCATTCTTTTTGTCTAGTACAGCATTTTCAGAGTCCCAATATCCATCACTGTGAGGGTATGTTTGACTTCAGTTCTTACATTCTTACTTTAAAATTTGTTTTTAAAAATACTGTATACCATTTAAGGATGACTTTCTAATCTTTGAAAATTATATTGGTAAATAAACTACTTCAAAAATAGAAAAAAAAAAGATATTTTCCAATTCTTGTCTTTTTTTTTCTTTCAAGTAATTTGGTTGTGATTATGAACCATTCCTCGAGTCAAGTGCTTAGCACGTGCTTTAAGAACTAGAAATGTGTTCATGAACAAACTTTCAAATATGCTTCATCGTAATTATTTGCCAAGAAGGTTTTCTAAAAATGAAAAAATAAAAATAATTGAACATATTTTCTCTTTTTTTTTTCCTTCATGTACTTTAGGTTATGATTATGAATCATTCCTTACCATGTATTAGGCAGATGCTTCTAAGAAATAGAAATGTGTTTAGGAACAAATTTTCAACTATGCCTACTTATTCATATTTCAATAATTATTTGTAAAGAAAATATTAAAAAAAAAACTGATGATATTTTCTCATTTTTGTTTTCTTCTTCAAGTACGTAATTGGTATATGATGATGAATTATTGCTCTACTAAAGTATTTATCATTTTCTTTTAAGAAAAAATAATTTTGAGAACAATTTTTTTTCTTCAAGTACCTCTTAGGGTATGATTGTGAATCATGGCTCTACTCAAGTATTTATCTGCTTTTAAAAAATAAATATTATGAAGAACAATTTTTAATATAATTATTTTTAAATTAAATTTTTATATAAATAAAAGTTGAAATATATATATATATATATATATATATATATATATATATATTCCTTCAAATACTTTAATTAAGTAATAAAAAAATTATTGTTTTGTGATGGACAAATTTCGTCACAAAATAAAAATTTTGTCATCATAATAAACTTGAAAGTCATAAAATAACCGGGTATTACAAATTTTTTTGTGTTGGATTATACAAATAGTTATAAAAATAAATTTTACAAATAAATATATATTTGTTACAAATCCATTAGTTAATTTAAAACTTTATTCCAGTGTAAATTATGTTGAATTATTTTGTGCATAATGACTTATTTGAAATGGGTTTTGCGTAAGCAAACTCTACTTAAGTATATTCTATATGATTTAAAGCAACGAAGTTCACTACACACGTGAAACATATCATTCTACGCTGGAAGCAAGTCAATGTTTGTTTAAGTGAGTCTAGCTTAAGCAGAACCTTTATCGCTGAAGTGATTCTCGCTCAAACACAAAGTAGCTTGTTTAGGCTAGCCTCGCTTACACTTAATCATGTTTGTTTCATCAAGACCCACCTAAGCAAACTTCAAGTGACTTTAGCGACTTTCGCTTTAAGCCAATGATTCCCTGCCCAAGCTCGATTTTCTTGAAGCTCTACTTCTTTTACATTTAAGTAAAAATATGGGAGACTTAAGTGAGACATGCTTTAAGCGAATATTTTAAACTTTAACATACGCCAATGAAAATAAAATATATTTTATATTTTTATTGTATTTCCAGATAAAATATAATAATGCAAACTCAAATGAAGTAGAAAAAAAAATAACATGACAAATATTTGCCTTCCAAGAATTTTGTCTAAAAATATCAAAATGTAATGTTTCAAAAATATGCAAAAAAGAAATTATCATTGTCTTTTGATTCATCTTCTTTCTAGACCTGCACAAGAACTTAAACATGCAAGAGAAATTGGACAAGTAGGGGGAATGACATCACCATAGGTTTATTTTAAACCTGCGATGTGTTAAACAATATTTGCTTAAATGTTAGTAAGGCGAGAACTATTAGGAAGATTTCACAAGCCTGACCTTCCTCTGTAACATGAAATAAGATCAAAATAAAATTAAAAAAAAATGAGAATTAATTCTAGAATACACTTAATATCAAGATACTTTCCTACTTTGGTTGATCTCAAAACAAATAGAGGAATCATAATTGAACTACAATTTTCTTCTTTTACTTTTATTAGCATTCGTGCTATCCCGTTGAGTATGTGAAGTCTGAAGGATTTTTGGATCTCGACCCATTTACTTATTTTTTTTATTATAAATACTCATATAATTGTAAACCTATTAAAAAAAATGAGAATTATGATCTAGTACAATTGTGGACGTAAATAATTTTGAATGAACTACGTAAATTTTTTGTGTTCTTGTTAGTTACTTTTGTATTGTAGTGCATTTTTGTTCTCGCAACAACTGGTATCAAGAGCTTAGATTTTTCACGTGAGTGAGAGCAATGACAAAAGACGAGAAAGTAAAGACTGACAAGTTCGATGGAAGCAATTTCGAATTTTGGAAGATACATATTAAAGATTATTTATATTAGAAAAGTGGTATCAACCTTTGTCTAAGAATAAAACAAAAATGATATCTCAGGTAGATTGGGAGTTGTTAGATCAACAGTCTTTGGGCGTTGTGAGATTAACATTGGTGAAAAAAGTTGCCTACAACATCGTCAATGAGAAGACAATATTTGACTTGATAAAAACATTATCAAACATGTACGAAAAGTCATCAACATCAAACAAAATATTCTTGATTCACTAGTTAGTTAATACAAATGTGCGAGAAGGTGTTAGTGTTACAGATAATTGTGAATGACTTTAATTCCTTATTGTCAAGATTAATGTTAGTGGATATTAAATTTGATGATGAAGTACAAGCCTTGTTTTTGCTATCTTCGTTGTCTGATAGTTGGTCAAGAACTATCATGATACTAGCCAATACATCTAGGACTTTTAAATTAACCTTTGAAGGAATTAGGAGTTTAATCCTTAATGAGGATGTTTGTAGACAAAATGCTAGAGAATCAACAAATTCCTTATTAAGCACCGAAGGTAGAGGTGGAAAGTGTAACCTCCTTCCAGATTACATTTATTAATCCTAATTTCTTATCTAATTTAGTAATATATCAAAGTAATAGAAAATTTTAAGTGAAGTTCTTCATAAAGTCATACATTCCTTCATAATAAGTTCATAACTACATATAAATATACAATCATATATAATTTAATTCGAAAATTAATTATGAGAAACAAATAAATCAATCATGGAAACATAATAAAGAATATCATACAAATAATGAATAATTTACAATTTCATTATGAAATATGTTTATGATATGCACATGTGACTCAAAACGTAAAACTTGAAAATCATGCTTTTAACTCAAAATCTAAAAAATCATTTTTGACTCAGCGCTCCATGGAGACTCATATGAGTGTCTAGTGGAACCAGAGTTTAACATCATCCTATCCAGTGATTCGGCAATACCCCACTAAATGCGAACA